GTGTGTGTGTGTGTGTGTGGATTGTGTACCAGGGAGGGAGTTTTTCTTTTACTTTTCAAAGAGAGGAGAGAATGGGGGCTGGAGGGGGGGAGGGCTGGGCAGGGAGAGGAGTGCAGCAATGAATGAATGGAAATCCAAAATCTCTGTAAATGTTCATTAAAATTAAAAATAATTTTTTAAAAAGTATGATAAAAAAACAACAAATAGTTACTTATTAATAGAACTGCATCACCAAAGACATACTGTCTCTGACAGTATAGATGAAATGTAAGAACAGTGGACAATTTTTTAATCTCTGTGGCATATCTACCATTAATATATCTAATATTAAATGTAAAAGTTTAAGTTAAGGTTCCTCAAATACAAAAAGGCTATGAAAAGAATTAATTCTAGTTTATGCCTTTGAATTTTTATGTGAGAGAAAAGCACTGAATACTCTATGGATTACCAAAAGAACAAATAGGTCTTGGATAAAACACAACCAGATTCTCCTTAGAGGCAAGGATGGTGAAACATTATGTCACACACCTTGGGAAGGTTGTAAAGAAGGCCATTTCTCAGAAAATGGTGTCATGTTTGAAAAGGTAGAGGGTCACCCAAAGAGAGGAAGACCTTAAATGATATAAGACTAACACTGTAACTGAATCAATGGGCTCAATTACACCAGAGATAGCTCAGGATTAGGGCAAAGTTCAGATGCATTCACAGAATTGCTACTGAGTCATACTCTACTTGATGGCATCTGCCAACAATCTATCTTTATGAGAAAACTAATAACTTTAAAGCGGAAAGTTGGAAAGGTTAAGGGTGAAAGCTTCTTAGTGCCTTTACAGAGCATTTGTTGAAGAACAGATTATCTTTCTCTGGTGTGCCACTGTTACAGAATCCTATTATCTTCAAGAATCTTAAATCCTTTAGAGAAGTAATTTTATCAAAAGACTGCCCTCTACATTTAGCATGGAATACTCAAATTTGCACCCGCTGTTAGAACAAAATGTCAAGTCTATAAACAACACAGAAGACAAAATGAGCAACAAGGAATCTGATAGCATATAAAATCAAATTAACTTAAAATTTAAACTTCCTGACAGTGTAGTTTTACTACTTAGACAAGTCCTGCTCTTTAGATCAGGTCATGAAAGTCAAAGACAGGAAAATGTACTTAGCATAGTATTCTACAGTCCCACTACATTCACAGGAGACAGTGAATAAATATATATTTAATAACTATTATTTTAGACTTTTGCACACTAAAAGGAAAGAGAAAAATCATCAAATGAATGCTTACATTAGTTTTATTTCATCTGAAGGTCGAAGCAGCTCACTTGATATTCCTGGTTTGGTTAGTGCAGAAAACACTTGTCCTCTTTCAATCCAAGTATCATCATCAGACTTTTCAAGTCCCTTACATATTACATAGCTCAAAATATCTGTCAGTAATTGAAGAAGTTCCTCCTCACATCTCTATAATGTAATATGGAATTAATGAAATGAGGAAGTGCTAAGAGCAGAGCACATTATGAGAACTATCGCATATACAGACTATGATCATTTTAGGGAGCTCTGAGGGCCAACTGGTAGAGAGTAGTGTTGCCAAGAAAGGCACACTGTACGAATTTACAATATACTCTGTGAGAGAAAGATGGGCTATCTAATCCTATGTGATTTTCAGCCTATGAAAAACTACCAGAGGGTCAGCCATGAGTTGATTCTGAATTCTGACTCTATGGTATATAACAATAGACATGATCATTTAACATATTTTAAAAGTGTCTTAAAGAAAAACAAACAAACAAAAAGTTGTCTTGATGAACTTGGCACTTTGACAGAAAGATACTTAAGATAACAGCTTAGCTATCAAGGCATTCATAACTTGACACTTTTAGGTTTTTACATTTTAGACCACAACACTTAGCACATGAATACATTAAAAAAATTAACAAGTGCTTATAAATTTCTAAGTTTTCAAAGTATTAAAACATAATATTTTGTTTTCAAAAAAGGTACACATGGAAAGATAAAGAATACCTCTTGGCTTTCAAATAAAGAGAAGTCATCACTGAAGCCCGTATCATTTGTGCTACCACTTTCTTTGTCAGATTGCACATAAAATGATTTCGTTGACTCTACTGGGGATGGAGTGCTTGGCAGGCTGTCTGGCATGTGACTTCCACTCTCATTCAGTTCACATGAATCAATTCCACTGAAATCTAAACTCAAATGTGATGGATTACATTGCCAGAGGTCTTCTTGATTCTCTGATTTGAAAGATAATTCTCCTACAGAGCTATCTTCTTGAAAGAATTGTGTGTTAGAGTCTAGAGAGTGTCTATCCTCCAAACTCCACTGATCTGAAGACATATTGGTTGAAGCAAGAGAGCTGATCTTTTCCTCATCAGTTTTTTCATCAAAGTTCCTCTTGATATCGTCAGCTGAAATATTTTTGTCATTGTCTTTCATTAAAGCAGTCCTGTTGTCCTTATTATGAGTATTCCCATTTTCAAAACTGGCTTTTAAAAAAAGCCTAACAAAGGTGTCTTGCCAACCCACTTGCTGTGTTATTTGATATGCTGCATCTACTTGAGAATGTAGAATCTGTAATATCTGCAAAGAGATTAAAACACAAAATTCTTCAAAAACAATATACTTACATGAAAATATTATCTTTTCACTTATTTATAGGAATATGGGTAGATTTATTTTAAAATTATTTTATTCTTAATGAAATTATAAACTTTTGGAAGATATTTTATTTTTAACTACTCTCTCTATATATATATTACTCATTAAACTTTAGACAGAGTAAAGAGTTATTTAAATATTTTCTGAAAGGAAAGGTAATTAAAATGGTCTTCTGTATTTTAAGACATTGATGTTATTCACTTAATTTAGTCAAAGAGGAACTAAAAATGACAGTACATTATAAAAGGAAATAAAAATATAATCTTTTGATAGAATACTTTCTATGAGCTTATATTTTTTTGAACAAATATTACTGAGTACTTAATATATACCCAGAGAGCTCTGGTGGTGTGGTCCATTTAGAGTAAGCACTGCTAACTCAAAGATTATATCTCTCTGGGAGGTTCAAACTACTAGAAGTTCTGCAGGAGAAAGGTGGGCAATCTCTTTATTTGAAATTCACAGCCTCAAAACCCAATGGAAGGTCAATTGAGTCAATTCTGATTTAATGGCAGTAAGAGACAGGGTATCTTCCAGTTTAAATTTTAAGAACAAAGGAGAAACTCGGACACATAAAAATCTGAGCACATCAAGTATAATTTCTCATTCTTTTCTCTCAGTTAATGGTTGCTTTTGCAAAAAGAAAAAAAATCTCACTTAATCTATACTGTATGAACTGAGCCAAAGTACTTCTTAAAGATAAATTTCAGTTCATTGACTGCTGTGGAGTCAGAACTGACTCTTAGCTGACCCTCCAGCAGGTTTTCTGAGCCTGCCCATCTTCCCCCTGAGAAGACACTGATGATTCTGAATCATCACACTTGGGTTAGCGGCACATCTCTCTATGGACTACACCACCAGACCTCCCTGATTAGCCTGAATAAAAGTTGAAATTAAGAGCAGCCTCTGGTAGGATAATGTTTGTGATCTCTACTGCTTAATTCTGAAGAATTTTGAAGAAATTAAGTTCTCAAAAGTTACAATAAATTTAAGACAGAACTTTAGGATACCTCACTAACAAAATTCTGAGTAGACAGAAATACTCCTTACATGGCTCCAATTTATAATACTTCTTAACAAAAATTCTAACTTGAACAATTTTCAAAGATGGAAGTAATTAATGCTGGTTAAAATATGTCAATATCAATGATAATAATACATGACCTAAGGAACTTTGGCAAATTATATAGTGTATTGTGATGCTATCCAAAATTTTAGCAGTTCAACTCCCAAATTCATTCCGAAGGAGAAAGTTAAAAAGCATATGCTCAAAGATTTATAGCTGCTGAATTCTGACAGAGGGTTGCCATCACTGGGTTTGGTTTTGATAGGCGGGGTTAAGAAGAATAAATATATAAATCTTTTTCTCATAACATTAATAAATCTCAAAGATCCATGTAATTTGTAAAATAATAGAAATTTTAAACATAACTAGGGCAAGAAACACAAGTCATTAATATATGTAGTACGATAATATTGCTCTATTTAAATTATGTCTTAAAAATACACTAACCTTTCTGCAGATGACTACTCTGACATTTATATATGTTCGGTGAGATATATATACAACAGATAATAGATCTTTGAAATTAATAACAGGATCTATGGTACAAAGAACAGAAAGTTAAAATTAAACACTGGAAATAAACAAGGAAAGAAATGCAGGCAATAGCTACATTGAATTAACTGTTCCATTTTAAAATCATAATTTATATCTTAAATAAACTATTTAGAATGTCTAATGCCTTCCTGAATCAATGCTAAACTTTTCTTTCCCTTTGAATGGCTGAATATATTTCTATACTGCTAAGTTCTCATTATTTATCTTTCTGTGTATACATCTCATGAAAACATTATAAACCACTCAAGACAAAAAGATTTATGCAGTATCTTTACAATTAACAGCATTTAGTAAAAATTCTACATTTTGTACTTAAGTACTGGGAAATGTTCTAAAATAAATATTGCACAAACAGTATCTATTATATTTTATTTTTGCTCTTAAGAACTTAAAGCAAAAAAAAAAAAAAAATTAAGCTCCCTAAAAAGATAGTCTTAATGTCCTTTTATTATTATATAGCCTCCACTGTTAACTTAATGATTTTTCAATAAACACTTACTGAAAAGCCTACTAATTACTAGGCATTGTGCTATGTCCTAATAGGCAAAATCTACAATGATATATCAGAGCCAGTATCTAGGAAAAACATGTGGTTGAATCAAACAGCAGGTAATTTGGGAGACCTCAAGAATGAAAATGTGAGAACCACAAAACAGAATTACTCTGGAACTGAAAATGTTTCCTAAATATGGCAGTATTACCAGTCATAGTCATACCTGTATTTAAGATTTGATTGGTGAGGTTTTTAATGAGAGAAGTATTAATAGGTGTTTCATTAAGGAGAAGTCCTAAGCCTGAGTAGCCAACTTCTCTGAGTCGAATACGTTGCTTACTTCGCTCATAAACATTCGTGCATTTCAACATTTGTTCCATAACCTGGTCACAAGTAACAAATTCTCAATACACAGGACTACAAACCATTACACACTTGAGCAAATATAAAATGAAATATGGCTTTACATGGCTGGAGCATGACTTACTCAAGCATGAAAAGCCCCCAAACAAACACAACCCTTAAGAAAAGAGCTTTCTTGGGAGCTCTTGTGTCCTAGTGGTAAGAAGCCGCACTGCAATCTAAACAGTACGAAGCCACCCGCTGCTCTGATGGAAAATTTCTTCCCTTGCGATTAACTGCCTCTGAAAACCTGCCTAAGGGTTACCTATGGAACAGTTCTGACTCTACAGTACACAACAACAATAAACAAGAATTATCTCTGAAATACACAGTAATTATTCTGGTGGCTCAGTGGTAAGGAATTATGCTGCCAAATGCAAAAAGTATGCAGTTTGAATCCACCAGCTGCTCTGCTGGAGAAAAACAGACAATTTCCTGTCATGTGCTCAACTGCTTCTGAAAATCCACTGGAGAGTCAGCGACAGGTTGGTTCCAACTTGATGATAAGAACTATCACTACAACAACAAGAACTGTCACTGAAATAAACAATAATTAGTACATTAAAAATTCTAGATGACATATATCAAATTTCTTCCTTAAAGGAAGAAAACAAATAATTTAAAAATTTACTTCTTTGTGGCTAACCTCTTCTCTGGGAGTTTGGCTGATTTCGTAAGGTCATTATAAGACATTAAATAAGCAAATATATGAAAAATGCTTAGTGCCTGGCATATCCGTACTATACAGGGTTAATGGTTTTCCTAATATAATTAACTACAAAAGTGTTTTGAATAAATCAAAACATAGATGAGAGATTTTTATTTTGAGAATGTTAAGTTTGATTTTTCACACCAATGAAATATTAGGCAGTAATTTAACTACTTTTAAATATACATACACACACACGCAATTAGAATGGGGGGGGATCCTACAAGATAAACTGAACAACTTAAATTAAAAAGAAAGTTTCTATTTGTGAAAGTTATGTTGTAAGTACATTCACATACCTATACATACCCCAAATTATTAATATAATTAAGATCTCTGTACCTTGAAAATTATTTCTCTCAGTTTGTCAGAATACTTCTGATTTAAGAGCAAAGCATAAAGTATATCAGCATTTCCTGGTTCAAACAGCAGTAAGAAAAGCTGACCTCTAGTTGGGCTGGTACGTAGTAGACTGAAGAGTACATCCAAAATTCCAAATAGCTTTTAAAATTAAACAAACAAAAATAACCACAATCATATATAGAAACACAAATAAAGCTATAAGCCATGAAATAGTCATTTAACTAAAAATCCTATAAAACCTAAAGATAGTCTGATTTGTACAAGTAATTAATACACAATCCATATTCACCAGTTGAAACCATACATGTCTTCTGTTTTGTTATATATGAAAATTTCTACCTTGTACAGCCTTATTTCATCTCCTTAACAAGTTAATACTCTTCTATGACAGTCTCATACTGTTGCTGTTAAATTTCACTGAGTCGTCCCTCATGGCAACACTATGCAGAACAAGATTGGAGTGCTGTTATCGAAAGGGTTTTAAGTGGCATATTTTTTTTTTAAGTAGGTTTCCAGGGATTTCTTCGTAATCTTCATCTAGAAGCTCCAACGAAACTTATTTGCCTCACAGTAACATATAAATATCCACTGTTAAACAGAAAATAACAACTCTAGAGGTGGACTGGCCTAGAAAGGAACCAGGAATCTTAAAAGGAAAAAACGAATGCTGTTGGAGTTGGGTGCCCCTGACTCACAGTAGGGCCTGTGAACAGTAGATCTGAGCATGGACCTATCCTGTGCCATCTTCATCATCTCGGACTTACTTATGCCCATCATTATAGTCACTGAGTCAGTTTACCTTATTGAGGGTCTTCCTCACCTTGGCTAACTCTCTACCTCTCCAAGCATCATGCCCCTATCCACTGAACAGCCTCTTCTAACACCATGCCCAAAGCAGATGAGATGAAGGTCATCCTTGCCTCCAAAAAGTACTGTAGCTATATATTTTCCAAGACCTATCTGTTCTGTTGACATTCTACAGGATGTTCAATGTTCTTCTCAAACAAGACAACTCAAAGACATTGATTTTTCTGTCATTCTTATTCACTGTCCAACTCTCAAATGCATAGTTAAGTGACTGAGGAGAGTATGGCCTGAATCAGGTTCATTTTAGTCTTTAAAATGACATCACTGCTCTTCAGGAATCTGGAGAGGTCGATGAGAGCTGACTTGCTCAAATATTGGTACCAACGATGTTGATAGTGAAGCTAAGTAAGGTGAAATTACTGACAATTCCAAACTTCTCTCCATCAGTCATGATGTTGATAACTGACCTAGTGGTAAGGATTTTTTTGTCTTCTTACTGTTGAGATGCAATCCATATTGAAGGTTGCTGTCTCTGATCTGTTTATTCTTTTGCCAGTCCATAGTATATTCAGTCCCCACTTCCAACACCAAAACTCAAACGCATCAATTTTCCTCTGTCATCATTATTCATTCATCTTCATTCATAAATGCAGCCCTGAACATGTTCACCAGTCCATTCCAGGTAATTTGGAAGATAGCTACTTGGTGAACTTATTGGATGAGATACATTATTTGTTCCAAAACTCAAGAAACATGGTCTAACAGAATGTGGAAATTATGAAATGTTATTATTAAATTTTTTTAATTCAAAATTCTTTTTACTGAGATAATTTGCCATTCATCTTGATTCAGCACGTTTTCTTTTTTTTTCCAGCGTGTTTTTCTTAATGCTGCTTTTCTTAACAATGCTTAAAGGAGCATCCTTCTGTAAGCCTTGCTTTTCCTCCTGTAGGTTGACAGAGAACAGTGGGACAGACAACATACAAACTATTGTTCGTGCATGGCTGAAGACTGTGGTGATTTTCTAGCATCCTGGACATTTCACATCCATGCAATAGGAACCTGGGCTCTGCACCATGCGCTTCTTCTTGTGTTTTCTCTTCTCCTCTTCTTGAGAGAGATGAAGGAGATCCTTTGCAAGAGGCATCTTGGCATCCGGAAGTCACTGCTAGAAAGGCGCAGGCAAATATTGAAGTTCATCCCAAAATGGCGTGGAAACAACCCAAGTGTCCAGCCACAACTGAATGGATTGAAAAACTGTGGTACATTCACATAATGAAATACTATGCAGCACTCAGGAGCAATGATTTCAAATACTACATAACTTGGGAGACTCTCCCATGAGAGTATTATGTTGAGAGAACTAATTCATAAGTCTCACAAGGACAAATTCTGCATAAGACCATTATTGTAAAAATAGGATGACTAAAGTCTCTCTCAGGGAGAAGTGATAGGGAATGGCAAAGGATACACTGACAAAAGAGATTAATCAGAACTGGCTTTGACAAGCACTGTGGCAATGGGACAATTAAAATAGACTTTCAAGGGGAAAAAAAAAGAGGAATGAACTGGGGGGGGGTAGAGAAAATAGTGCAACAATGAATGAACAGAAATCCAAAATCTCTGTAAATGTTCATTAAAACTAATAAAATTTAATAAAAAGAAAAAGAAAATAAAAAATAGGATAACTAGAAAAACATGTATGGGAACTCAATGGAGAAGGGGTGGGAGCAAAAGGGTGAGGATGGGTATGGGCAAAATAGGGCTGCACAGCTTGGTGGGTGGAGGGGGCAGGGAAGGAAATGGGAAGGATCCAGGTGAAAAGACAGGGTAATAATGGGAAAATTCTAATAGTGATAACTTTTATAAAATATAATGCATAAAAATGATTGCATGAAACACAATATGAATAGGGAACAGTGTGAAACACAATGTATACAAACTCTATAAGCAAACAAATGACGACAACAAAAAAATGGCTAGAATAATAATAGACTGATAGAGAACTGCCAGGAGTAAAATAACAACTGCTAAGAACAGCCCTGAGCTCCAGGCAGCTCAAAGTGGATTCAGAAGAGATGACGACATCAGGGATGTCAATGCTGACTTCAGAAGGATCTTGGAAAACAAAGAATACCAGAAGAATAAATGTCTCTTTGGAATTTACCGACTATGCAAAGGGATTTGATTGTGTAGATCACAACAAACTATGGTTAACATTAATTAGAATGAGAACATTAAAACATTTAATTGTGCTCATCTGAAACCTATACAAGGACCAGGGAGTTGTTTTACAAACTGAGGAGAACATGGCATAATCTAAAATCAAGAAAGGTGTGCAGCAGGGTTGCATCTTTGCTGCATCTATTCAACCTGAATCCTGAGCAAATAATTCAAGAAGTTGGAATTTATGAAGAATATGGCATCAGGAAGATAACTAAAAAATCTGCATTGTGTACATGATACAACCTTTCTTGCTCAAGTGAGGAGGATTTGAAACACTTACTGCAGAAGTTCAAAGACTATTGCCTTCAATAGCAATTATATCTAAATACTGTGAAAACAAAAATCTTTATCACTAGTCCAACAGGCAGTAAGTACCATGGTAGAGGGTGAAAAAGGTTGAAGTTGTCAACTATTTCATTTTACACAGATCCACAATCAACACTCTTGATATCAAAAGACATACTGCACTGGGCAAGCCAACTCTTAAAAACCTCTAAATGGGCCAAGGAGCAATGACATCAGTTTAAGGACTAAGGTGCACCTGATTCAAGCCATGGTCTTTTTAGTCATTTACTATGCATCTGATTATTGGATAATGAATGACAGCAGAATTGATACTTCTGAGATGCAGTGTTGGAGAAGGCTAAATATCTATGGACTGCAAAAGAATAAGCAGATATTTCTTGGAGAAAGTGAAACCAGGGAGCTCCTTAGAGACAAAGATGGTGAAACTTAATCTGGCATACTTTAGTCATATAGTTAGCAGGGACCATTCTTTGGAAAAATACATCATGCTTGGAAATGTGAAAGGTAAGTGAAATAAAAGAAGCTCAATGAGATGGACTGGCATAGTAACCACAGCAATGAACTCAAGTATGCCAGAAATGATGAGTATGGTACAAGATAAGGACTTATACTTGATTTGATGATGGTATGTAATACAATTATAACAACATAGTTTTCAATAGTGGTTGTGGGTTTTTACTAAGCCTGTGAATACCCTGTAGGACTATATTCAGGAATTAAGAAGATGAGGGACAACTTATTTGCCTATCTGTCAAGTTCTTGGTAAAGCTGACTTGAGATCATATATTGAGAACCACTTCTCTTAAAAATGTGGAAATGAAAAAAGAAACAGTGGAGATGTTTTTAAAATAGAAATAAATTTATAATTTAGCACCATGTAAAAGTTTTATAGAAGAACTAGGTTTTGCTGCATTATACTTGAAAAATAAACCTATTAACTTTGACAACAGTAAACAGATATGATTTGAGCTATAAAAAGAACTAATAATTGCTATATAAGGCCATTAACTATTATTTTTAGTGAATTGGAATATTTTATAAAACTATTAGTTTCAGCTAGTAAATAAAATTAGCTTTTTTTTATAAAATTAGCTTTTTAAACTATATTATGTTTCACTTCTTTTATTTATTCACTTCATTTAAAAATTTTTATTCATTCTTAAAACATTTAACATATTAAGCAAATATAACTATATAAAATGTTATAATAATATAATGGTTAAAAAGAAAAGAACAGATTAATCTCAGACATAATACCTGCTCTTCTTCATTGGTAGCAGCTATGTATCCCATAATACTTTGTATTTCTTCATGAGTACCACCTTTGCTCAGAAAATACTTAATTAGTCCATATAAAGATGTCCTTATTGTTCGAATATCATCTAGAGACAATTCATTATATTTACAATCACTCCTGAAAATTAAAAAGCAAGAAATAAATATTTTAAACTTTACATTTACACAAAACACTTATCAGATATGACATAAACCTTTCTGAAAAGTTATTAGAGATCATGATTTCTTTGACTTCTTTCTTTTCCTGGTTTTTTTTCTTTGACTTCTTTTTAACAAAAACCTCCAGAAGTTAAAAGTTTCAGAAAAAAAATATTACAAATAGGAAAACCTCTCTGACATTTATACAGCACTCACTATATGGCAAGCACAATGATTAACACATACTAGATCATTTAATTTAATTCCCCAAACAATCACAGGTCACAGTTTCATTATCTCCTTGTCACAGATGAGGAAGCAAGCACTAGGAATTGAGAAGTAACTTGGCGATGGCTACACAACTGACTAATCACAAGGTTCAAATCCAATCTATAAGGTCAATTTTTTGTCACCTTAACTGTCAAATTGCCCTGCTTCTCTGAAGTTGAAGGATATTATTTGTTGGGGAAAAAATCCAATTTACACATTTTAATCACGTAGTCTCCCTCCAATTCTGATGCCACATTCGTCTTCATAGAGTCCAGCTTTTCAAATAATTTGCTCTGCATACAGACTGAATAGATACGGAGATAGAATACAACCCTGACGCACTCCCTTCCTAATTTTAACTTGTGGTCACTGTGAAGCTGAACACTGTGACATTGATATGTCAAATGCGGTAACAGTTACCCATGGTGGACAGTGTTTGGCGGCACTCCCTGGTTGAAACAAGCTTGGAAGCAGGATTGGCATTCACTTCTGTAAATAGCTTGCCTCTGGCAACCCTATGAACCTGGAGAAAGGATGAAAGTCACGCACGCAAGTGTCAAGGACTTTCGTTCATTGGGTCACTATGAGTCGCCTACGACTTGATGGCACTCAACAACAACAACAACAGTTGGCAGAATATATTATCAAACTGAGAAGGAGCATAAACACCATACCCATAATAAATCCTAAGTGTATCTAGGAGAAACTGAATGCCGTATTTCTTTCGAAAAACTCTTCTGCTGTCTTTGATGATGGTGGAAAGATATTGTATGTGACCTAAAACACAAAGTTCATATTTAGGTGGTTTATCTAAAAAACACAGAGACACTTAATAAATAAATTTCCAAAACAAATGTATGATTGTATCTAAAGGTCTGTTGTCTCACCAATTCGAACAGGGAAATCTCCACGGTTCCAAATATGAAAATCAAAGAGTAAATACTGATACATTTGTTGTAAGAGCTGAATATTTTTCTCTAATGATATCTGCTCAATTAATATTTGAATTGCCATCAATACATTTACATCCATCAAGGTGCTTGGCACCTGAAATCCAAACAGAAAGGGTTACATAAAGTCCAGTTTAGAGAATATTTACTGAGGTACACATTCACATGATTACATCAGAGGTCGACTCCATCAGCTACTTCATGAGAGAAAAAAAGGGTAATCTCCCACATGATTACAGCCTCTGTAAATTTGCTGAAAGGTCAGTTATGTGTCAGTTCCAAACCAAGGGCACATAACATCATCAATAACATAATAACTACACAAATATAAAGATTTCAGCCTTGCAAATCTTATGTGATCTCTACTATGTCTTATAAGATCATGAGTCTGAACTGACTCAAAGCTAGTAGCTTAGTTTCCAGGTCTGAAATAATCCATTTTTGTACAAAATTATCACTAAATGTTTAAAAAAGATTCCTAGGAAATAATTCTCACCCATTAATAACTTCAGTTATACTATTATAATAAAGAAATATATTAGGAGAAAAACTACACCACCAGCTGCTATCATCAGCAACATCTGCCTGATGTTAGATTGCCTCACCTTCTGAAGTAGAACACCAAGAGTGGCAACTCCATGGGAGTGAATAAGATTGTCCTGGTTGATAGGATGCCTCTGAATAAAGTGCTTCACAATCAAAATAAATGTTGCAACTAAATTTCTTTCTAGTCTTGACTCTGAAATTGTGAATATGTCATTAATTATGATAAACTTTCTATCACAGTTCAGCATTACAATGCATATTATAACAAAGAAGGAATCTTGTGTAGCGGTTTGCCTCTAAAGTTCATTTGTAGAACATAAACATCAGAGAAGGCCAACACATGCACACTTTTTAAGTGCATGTATGCATTATTTTCTCCACCATACATTTAATAATGTCATTAAGAATACCAACTAAGGGAAAGGTGGCAACAGAGGGGTAAGAATGGCAGTGGGTATCACAGTATCACACAATTTAGTGGGTGGAGGGAAGGAGGGTAAAGGAAATGAGAAAGATTCAGCAGGAATCTGAAAGACAGGGTAGTGGTGGGCAGAGTTCAATGGTGATTAATTTTACAAAACAAAATGAAAGGAGCTCTGGTGGCCTAGTGGCAAGAAGCTAGCAGAACTGCAATCCCAGAGGTAAGTAGTTTGAATCCACCAGATGCTCTGCTGGAGGAGGGGCAATCTCCTCCTGTACCAGTCAGATTCAATTTGATGGTACATACATAAAAAATAATAAAATTTAAAAATTTTTAAAAATCCAACCCAAACAAACATAATAA